GGAGATGGGGCGGGGCGAAGCGGGACCCTCCATTCCCTTCCCTCCACTGGCTCTCCTTGCTCTGTCCCATTAATGGGTCCATGCCCAGGGGTGGGACAAAGAGCCCTGCTGCTGGGGTGATGTGCAGCCTTCAGTACCTGCTGGCCGCCTCTGGACTCGATTTCCTATCAGAAACTTGGGATACTGTTTCTGGCCTTGTCTGCTCAGGACCACAAGAAACCTCAGTTGCCAAAACCTCCCCTCTTTTCTAGAAGCAGCCTCAGCCCAAGCCCTGGGTCAGTTTCTTTTTGGAGAATATTGAGTCTCATTGTCCAGGCCTGCTGGCAGGTCTGGCCTGGGAATCCAACCTCAGGTCCTTGGCGTTATCCCCCTCTTTGCTGCTCTCTTTCCCTGCCTTGGGCTCTATCACTGAAGCCTGCGTCCGGCTAGGGCGGGGTGCACAGTGCCAGGTCAAATGCTGAGAGGACCTGGCAAGGAGGAGAGAGGAAGAACTGATGAAAGTGGAGGGCAGGGTCTGTACTCTGGGCTGGAGCTCGAAGGCCCAGACTGGGACAAGAATGAGTCAGGAATGGGGTTTCTCACTGACCCCTCTGTCCCAGTCCTGGGCACTGGTAACATTTTACAGGTACCTTCCTTGACGCCATCTTTCTCTCTCTCCCCCAGTCTCTACTCTACAAGAAAGTGAATGAGGCTCAGTACCGCAGCCACCTGGCCAACGAGATGATGATGTACCACATGAAGGTGAGGCCTCCCAGACTCCTCAGTGGCCCAGGGCCATCTGTACTTTCTGACTGATCCCTACTGAGAATGAGAAAATGGACCACTAGCAACACCAGGCCTCCTGCTCTCCTTGGGATCAACCACCCTGTTCCTCTGTGTAGAGAGCTCTTCTTAGTTTCTGAGTTCAGTCCCAAGGCTGGAAGGAGCTAGCAGGCCCCAGCCCACAGAGGAGCTCAGTTCAGCCAGGTGTTCCTCATGTCCAGGGAATAATTCCCGTCTTGGGAATCACTGAAGGCTGAGAAGCCCATGCAGGACCTTTCCCTGTAGCTTTCCTAGGTACCGTGGCCATGCAGCCCACGGCAGTCGTAATTGTTGATAGTGCATCCCATTCCAGACCCTGTGTCAGAAAAGCTGTCCCAGGTCTTAATTCAGAGTATGGGCGAGTCATTGTTCATTTGGAGATTTCTTCTCAACCATGTCCAAACCACAGAGTCCCAGACTTTGGGAATAGGATCAAAGCTGTTGTAGAAAGGATTGAGGTTAGACACTGGGAAGGTTTCCCCAAAAGGAGAAATACTAGACTCTATGAAAGGCTGCCATGGTTTGGGGATGTCACGAAGAGTGAGAACACTCTTTGCCCAGGTAGGCTCTTTCCTATAAAGGGTGGTCACAGGCAGGAAGGCATAGTAGATGGGCTGCAGGGTCACTGGCAGGGAGGCAGAGTAGGTGGGCTGCAGGGCTGTGAGGGGTAGGCAGTGGTCTCCTGCCCAGTGACAGTTGCATGATAGCCAGACTGTTGTGCATTCTGGGTAAGGGATCCCTCATTGTGCCATGGGAAATTGAGGGTGAGGACACAGGTGGGGTGATATCTTCTGATGTCTTAGCTGGTTCCTTCTAGGTCTCTGATGATGAATACACCAAACTCCTTCATGATGGGATCCAGCCTGTGGCTGCCATTGACTCCAACTTCGCCAGTTTCACCTATACCCCTCGCTCTCTGCCCGAGGATGACACATCCATGGTGAGCTATCCTCCTCCACTTGACTGGGGAGGTGGAGGATATGCAGCCAGATATTTAAGTCAGATGTGCATAAGAACCTCCTGGAAAGACAGAGCCATCAGGAAGGCTATGGAGGCCCCCTCAGAGACAGAAGGGGCATGTAGTCTGCAATCATGGGTCAGGGCCTGCCCAGCAGCTGGACTGGGTGATCCCAAGGACTGCTCCGAGTCAATAATGACCAGGGCCTGTGGCCTTGGGGCTTGCAGCCCCTCTCTGTTTTTCTAAGGTTGTGTGTGAGCTTGGTTCCATGAGTTCTTAGTTCTTGGGTCCCTTGGATTTCTAAAGGTTCACAGTTCTGAGAGTGTTTGCTTCGTCAGTTTATGGTTCTCTAGTTTAGATCTAAAGTCCTACAGCTCCGAAAGCTTGAGTGTGAGTCTTGAAGAAGGGGCTCCCTTTTGATCCCGACAACCCCTCTGGTCTTCTCCAGGCCGTCCTGAGCATGCTGCAGGACATGAATTTCATCAACAACTACAAAATCGACTGCCCGACGCTGGCCCGGTGTGTCCACGCACAGACAGTCCCAGTCTCTGCCTCCCTCTGTCCTCCACTCTCACATCCATGATCCCAGGGTTTTGGGGGGAGTTCTCTCTGAGGACCACTGGAGGGGGACAGTGTTACAGGGATGGGGAGGATCCATGCATGAGAAGCAATTCCCAGACACTGGGACAGTGAAAAAAGGCAAGAAATGGTGGGCAGGACAGAGCCTGAAGGACTTCCCGGAGGAGGAGAGACTGAGGCCCCTCTGCTGCCCACCCCCTCCCCCAGGTTCTGTTTGATGGTGAAGAAGGGGTATCGGGATCCCCCCTACCACAACTGGATGCACGCCTTTTCTGTCTCCCACTTCTGTTTCCTGCTCTACAAGAACCTGGAGCTGGCCAACTACCTCGAGTGAGTGGCGGCACTGCCCCACATCTGGCAGCTGCAGGCTCCCCTTCCCCAGGACAGGAAGCCCCTACTGCATGGCAGTCACCTTACATGTATCATCTCATCAGGTCCTCTTAGCCCCACGAGGAAAGTTGCATTTTCCAGGAGGGTCTTGCTCACAGTCATGTGGCCAGTAAATAAAGAGCCTGATGTAAACCTCATCTGCCAAACTCCACAGCAATATTTCTCTCCTGGAGGGAAACCCCGGTGTCCCTAGCTCCTGTCCAAGTGGCTTCTGGACATCCCATCCAGTTGTTTCAACTCTTCTGGGGGCCTGGGGAGGGCACTGTGACTGACCTCTTTTTTCCTCCTTTCTGCTCCCAACCAGGGACATCGAGATCTTTGCCTTGTTTATTTCCTGCATGTGTCACGACCTGGACCACAGAGGCACCAACAACTCTTTCCAGGTGGCCTCGGTGAGACCCTGCCCTCTTCCCAGCCATGACCCTCCCCAAGGTGTCTGGAAGTCTCACGCCTTCCCTGGCTGAGGAGAATGGGGAGAGGATGAGACCAGGAGCCAGATTTAGAGATGGAGGCTCTCCCAGGGTTCACCTGGGCCCCGCAATAGGGAGGAAGAGGAGAGAGGGGCAGGAAGGAGCAGGGCGATGCTTAGCCTAAAGCAGTGGTACTTGAAGTGACCGGAGCTCTCCTGGACTTTTACAGAAATCTGTGCTGGCTGCGCTCTACAGCTCCGAGGGCTCCGTCATGGAGGTATCACCGTCTTACCCAAGCTTGACTTCCTCATTCCTTTAAGGCCAGTGACTTGCAGAGCTGACACCCAGCTCCTCCTATTCCCAAGCTATGCTCCCCACATAGGCCATGAGAGCTGCACCCACCCCCCATCCCCCTGAGAGGGACATGTCTGTCTGGTTTTCTGGAGTGGACTGGGAAGAGTGCAGGTGCGGAGGACGCGTCCAGCCCATTTCCCCTCAGCTGTCTGAGTACGCCTCTTACAGCCTCTCCCCGCCCAGCCTGTGATGGGCTCCATGTCCATCACACTCAGCATGGCCCTCAGTTGTTTGGTTGGGGCCTTTCCACCCCCATATGGGGCAGGGATGAGGTCTAAGATGTCTCTGAGTTCCTGCATTGGGCACAGGGCTCGGCACAGAGTAGGAGCCACATTTCCAAGGTCACCTTGCCCCATGCTGCCTCCCTCAACACCCCTCCAGAGGCTGCCCCTGCTTGCACACCCGCAGGAGTGAGGTGCTCCCTCTCTCCCAGGAGGCCTGGTGGCAGCCCTGGTTCTGCTCTGTGTGCCCCCTGGGATAGGCCTGCTCCTCCTCTGAGTGACAGCCCTTCAGCGTGGGTGACAGGGGCCTTGCCCTTGCCTCGTCACTGCCTCTCCTTGTCAGCAAACAAATGTTTTCTGCATGAATTAGTGTCTAGGACTCGAAGGGATCATTTAAAAATTTTCCCAGCTTGCGATCCCTCCGAGCGTACCTTACCGGGTCCCTGCGTATCACAGCTGAGGAATCTGAGGCTCAGAGCTGGCCAGAGGCTTATGCTCATCACACAGAGAGTCAAAACAGAGCTCAGAAAGGGAACTGGGGCCCCTGACTCCCCCTTTCTGCCTGCTCTGCTGACCTTAGGGGCCTGGGTGGGGGCCATGCCCAGCTCCCTCTCTTGGGGTCAGTGGTGAGGGGAGTCTCCCTGCCCCAGCCAGACACCCATTACTCCTCTCCCCCAGAGGCACCACTTTGCTCAGGCCATTGCCATCCTCAACACCCACGGCTGCAACATCTTCGACCACTTCTCCCGGAAGGTGATGGGGTGAGGGGTGGGGGGAGGGGTGGGAGCTGGAAGCTGGCCAGAGAGACAAGAGAAGGAGTCAAGGGGTGGTAGCTCATCGGGGCCGGGTGAACGGATGGGGGTGTCCAGCAGGAGGCCATGATGCCCCTCCCTTGTCCACCCCAGGATTATCAGCGCATGCTGGACCTGATGCGGGACATCATCTTGGCCACAGACCTGGCCCACCACCTCCGCATCTTCAAGGACCTCCAGAAGATGGCTGAAGGTGCCTGCTGTTAGCCTCAACTGGGGAAGGATGCTTGGGGAGGATTTCCCAGGGGAGCATCCCCAGGGTATCGGCCCCGTCTCCACCCAGCATGAACCCATCCTTGCTGCCTGGCCCCACCGGGCAGACCCAGCACCGGCTCCTTGGCTTCCATCAAGAGTCCCAGTTCCCTGGATCCCTCTGGGTTGGGCCCTGGGAGCCTGGTCCTCAAAGGGGCAAGAAGCCTGGGCCCCTCTGCTTTGACCCCATCCTCCTCCTAACAGTGGGGTATGACCGAACCAACAAGCAGCACCACAGGCTCCTCCTCTGCCTCCTGATGACCTCTTGTGACCTTTCTGACCAGACCAAGGGCTGGAAGACCACGAGAAAGATCGCAGTGAGTGCTGTCCCTCCCTGGGGAGAGGCACAAGCTGCACACCCTCCTTGGCTCTGGGTGGCCCCTGCAGTCTGATCACCCTCTCTGTGCTGAGCTCAGCCTGGCTGGATTTAGGGGAGACAGAAACCTAGACCATCTGGGGGTGACAGATGGGGAGATTCAGAGAGGGGTGCGGACATGCCCAGGGTCACATAGCAAGTCAGTGGCTGGTGGAAGGCAGAACCCAGCACTCCTCCGTCTGGGGCCATCCCACTGCCAGGCTGGGCTGGCGAGGACAGGGTCTGAGGTGGGACTGAATCACTGGGCCTCAGTTTGCTCTCCTGGGAATGGGCCGTCAGAGGAGTGTGGGTGGATGGATCCCACTCACAGGACGTAATGAGAGCACTGGCCTTTCAGGAGCTGATCTACAAAGAATTCTTCTCCCAGGGAGACTTGGTATGTGCGGAGTGACCTCAGGTGTCCAGGTTGGGGAGGGTTCCTGGCGGGAGTGCTGGGAGGGCTGGGGTTGGCCCGAGCCCAGTGCCTGGTGGCGGAGCGAGAGGGGCGGGCCTGACGACTCAACGCCGGCAGGAGAAGGCCATGGGCAACAGGCCTATGGAGATGATGGACCGTGAGAAGGCCTATATCCCCGAGCTGCAGATTAGCTTCATGGAGCACATCGCCATGCCCATCTACAAGTGAGTGCCTCACGGGGACGGCGGGCACCAGGCTCAGGGAAAGCGAACCAGGGCGGGCCAGCTGTGGACAGCCCAGCAAACACTGGGCCTGACTCAGCTCCAACCAATTCACCCTCCTACCCTCCTACCCCCTACCTCTGGGCACAGCTGTTTCCTGCTTTGTCCTTCAGTGGGCCCCAGTGGAATGAGACCATTATGCGTTCCTTGTGTGTCCAGTCCTAGACCTCGCGCCCCTGTGGAAGTTCTATCTGCAGTACAGCCCTAATCTTTCTTGCTACCCGTGATCTGCCTTCTGACCTCTAACCCTGCCCCCGTGCACCCACAGGCTGTTACAGGACCTGTTTCCCAAAGCGGCAGAGCTGTATGAGCGCGTGGCCTCTAACCGTGAGCACTGGACCAAGGTGTCCCACAAGTTTACCATCCGCGGCCTCCCAAGCAACAACTCGCTGGACTTCCTGGACGAGGAGTATGAGGTGCCTGATTTGGATGGCACTAGGGCCCCCATCAATGGCTGCTGCAGCCTTGATGCAGAGTGACCCTCTCCCCGGATCCTTTCCTGCCCAGGCCTCCTCCCACAATCCTCTACCAGTCTGGCCAGATGCTTTGGGAACAGAGCCATGAGTCCTGGGTTTTAGGCCAGGACTTTCTGTGTGACCCTGGGCAAGTACTGGCCTTTCTGGGCCTCAGCTTTCTTGTCTGTATATTGGAAACAAGACTTCAGGCCTCACCAAGACTTTGTACTTTGCCTTCTGAGAGCATAGGGGGGTGGCCAGTGGGCAGTGGGCCCTGCTCTGCGCTGCTGATGACACCTTGGCAAGTCATCCCCAAACCACTCTTTCTTTGAGCTGCCTGATGGTTTCTCCTGTGCCCCACTCCTGCCCCACTAGATCTGTGCCCTTTTTGCCTGGAGGATCCCACCCCCTGGGGTCTCCAGAATTCTTGTGGGACCCCTCCCATGAGGACATCTGAGTGAGCAGAGGGCAGGATCTTGGAAACAGTCATTAGTTCTACCGGGGGACTAGAAACAGCCATGGGGTGAAGGGGCCCCCTGAGGACCACCACTATACTGATAGGGGAGCTGGCGCCTGGGGGATCCAGGGGCCCCATGAGAAAGCTCCAGAGGGGCAGCTCAGTGCTTGGGAGAGAGGGGACTCAGGGAGAAAGCAGGATGGGAGTGATGGGCAGGAAGGGCCCCTGCACTGGGAGACAGGCCAGGTCAGTCTGTGTGTTTTCTCCTGCCTGTGTGATCCTGGGCATGTCCCTTCCCTGTCTGGGCAAAGCAGGAGGGTCAGACAGTCCATTTGCTCAGATCCATTTAGGTCAATCTCTCAAATAGCTCCCGAGCTCTGTGGATTCCCAGCAGAGGCTGTGGGATGTCTTTGCCACCCATGGGCACAAAGCGCCCAACCTGAGTCCCTTAGCGGACCCCTGAGTGTGCCCTTTGGCCTGAGCCCCTCCCCCATTCTTGCAACCAGAGGGGGATCCGGCCTCAGTGCTGGCAGGGCTCCCTCCTCTTAAGGCCATATCCATCTGTGCCCCGGGGCTTGGGGGACCCCGTAGGATCAGGCCTCTTGGGTCAGCCCGGCTGCTGGCTTCTCTCTCCTTCTGTTTGTCGTGTGTGTGGCGGGGTGGGGGGAGGGGGGGGCCACCTGCCTTACCTATTCTGAGTTGCCTTTAGAGAGATGCGTTTTTCTAGGACTCTGTGCAACTGTTGTATATGGTCCCGTGGGCTGACCGCTTTGTACATGAGAATAAATCTATTTCTTTCTACCAATCCTCCTCCATGGGGCTATTTGCAGACTTTGTGCATGGGGTGGCTGGGGGAAAACAGGATTGGGAGAGGCAAATCCTCTTTGGAACTCCCTGGCTACCAGAGCACCCCGTCCCTGGTGCCCAACCCCTCTTCTGGGGGATCCATAGACCTCCCAGGGTACTCTCTGGGCCAGCCCTGGGCCAGATGGTGGGGGCTGAGGAGTGGATGGCAGGTGAGGACACCTGGCCATGGAACGGCGAGAGGATATGTTGACTGGCAGAAATTGTGGACTGGAAAGGGAAAATGGAGAGGTTGAAGCAATCAAGGAGACTACCTGGGGGAGATGGCCTGAAGCTCCTCCTGGACATTCCCTGTGCTGGCCTGCCCTGGTCACGAGTGCCCGTACAGCCAAGACCTGGGTCTTTGAACCCTCTCCCTCGCTGCAGTGATGCATCAGTGTCCCCATAAGTCCCACACCCCTGTTTCTCTGAGTCCTGCCAAAGGGGTATCTCTGAGTTGAACTTCACACCAGATCCAGCCATGAGTTGTATCCCCGGCCCTCCTGCCTGTGAGACTGTTTGTGCCTCACAGACAAGAGAGCAGACTCCAGGTTGGGAGCCATGAGAGGCTCTGACTGGCTCAGTCTCCAGCCCCATCCTCCACTTGCCTGCACCCCTCCTGCCTCTTCTTCCTGATCAGCAAAGGTTGGGACTGAGCACTGGGTTCTTCTTTCTTGGGGAGAACAGAAGGGAGATGGACAAGGCAATCCTATGACCACCACCAATGCCCCTTGGAGAGCAGCCTTGCCTTTGGGACCAAAGAGTCCAGCTGCTTCCTCTGCTTCCTCCCATCCCAGCCAGTCAGCGTTTGGAACCTGTTCCTCTGGGCTGGATCATCTCAAGGCTTCTAGCTTCCCTTAGGGTCATGGAGGTCCGGGCCCCTACCCTGCCCAGCCCCTACTTTGGGCTCCCCCACCTGTCTCTGTCCTCCCACAGCACAGGACCCAAGCTTGGCCAGTGGACAGTGGGCAGTTCCTGGTCTAAGGCAGATAAGAGATGACTTTTATTTATTTATTGATTTATGAGTTGAAGTCTTTTTCTGTTGCCATGGCACATCATGGCTACTGCAGCTTGATCTGCAGGACTCAGGAGATTCTTCCGCCTCAGCCTTCCAAGCAGCTGGAACTATAGGCGCTCCATCACACTCCACACATTTTTTGATTAATTGTAGAGACGAGGTCTCACCAAGTTGGCCATGCTGGTCTCGAACCACTGGACTCAGGCAATCCTCTGGCCTCGGACCCCAAAGTGTGGGATTACAAGTGTGAACCACCGTACCTGACATGAGATGGCTTTTCTAATGGTACCTGGCTGATATCAGGTTAGGATGTGAGCCCTGTTTGCCTGACTTTCCTCTAGGGCTTTCCCTGGAATAGAGGATGGAGACTCAGGATGACAGGGTCTCCATCTTCAGTGTTGGAAGGACTGTTGTGGGGTGTAGAAGTGGTGAGCAAAAAGTGGGCTGGGGCCCCAGAGAAGGAGTTGGGGTCAACTGTGTGTGGTGGGGGGTGGGGAGGTGGGGAGAGGGGTTAGGGAGGGGGGAAGGGCTAAGTGGATGGTGGCTTGTTGTTCAGTTCACGAACACTAGGTAGTGGCCAACCCTTGCTGTCCTCACCTCCCCGGAGGTCAGAGAAGGGTATGTGGGAATGTGGGTTGTAGGAACTAACCTTACTCCTGTTCATTATGTATGGGTTGAATATTCCTTATCCATGATGCTTGGGACCAGAAGTGCTTCAGATGTAAATTTTTTTTTTGGAGTTTGAAATATTTGCATTTACATAATAAGATATCTTGGGGATGGGACCCAAGTATAAACAATAAATTCATTTGTGTTTTGTGTACACCCAATGCCTATAGAATGAAGGTAATTTTATACAATAGTTTAAATACTTTTGTGCATGAAACAAGGTTTGTGGACATTGAACCAGGTGTGAAATTTTGCACTTGCGATGTCATGTTGGAGCTCAAAAAGTTTCAGATCTTTGGTGCATTTTGGATCTTGGATTTCTGGATTCGGGAATGCTGAACCTATATGCTCCCTTCGCACTTAGAGACACAGGCGTTCTCACACCGGCAGACACACACACAGACCCACATGCTCATTCTTTCTTCTCCACAGACACCTGTACACGCAAACTGTATAGCCTGAGCTCTATACAGTCTAGATCTTATACAAACTCCGCAGGGAATATGGAAACTGGTTCTTGGAGGACTCCAGCCCCTATAGCTACTTTCTAAACAGGACTAAAGTCTATCATTTCTACCTGAGTAAGACCCCATAACCTCTGATGGTGTCTGCCTGCTGTGTGACCTCTCTTTGCATTGGTTCTTGGGAAGGCAGGACCAGCCTGTGATCAGTGTGGATAGAACTGACGCCTCCCCCACCCATCCTCTGTACAGAAAACAACTACAAGAAAGCCCTGAAAGGCTTGACCATGTGCTGCTGATGAGGTGGGACAGTCACAGCAGGGAGCCAAAGTCATGAAGGGGGCTTCCTGAGGGAGGCCAGAGCTCAGGGAGGTCTTGAACTTTGGTTGGGAGAAGAAATAGGAGGCAAAAGCAATGCAGATAGATCAGGAAAGCAGGTTGGGAGGTGGATAAGCTCAGGGAGCTGTGCCAAAGTCCTCAGCCCACCCTCACAGATGAGCCTCTTAGGGGTCAGTTTCCTTGAGACAGGATGGGGGTCGGGGGTATGGGGAGGGGAAGTAAGCCAAGGAGGGCATGAGGTGGCCAGATGGGCGGGGGTGTGCTGAGAGAGGATGGTGAGATGCTGTTTTCACAGCCTTGGCTGCAGTCTCCTGGGAGGTGCCAAGTCCAGGGAAGTGAAGGGGTTGGAAATCTGCTCTGAGCGAGCGCTGAGCCCCCACTTTCCAGGGGCATGGGCAGAGCTGGGTAGCCATTGCCCCCCAGGCAGGCTCTGGACAGCACTTGGGAGAGAAGGGAGACTTGAGGTTAGGGAGGGCCTGGGGAGGAGGGGGAGGAGCAGGCAGCACGGGTGGAGTGGGGAGGATCCAGGGTGGCAGGGGTGGCCTCTTACCTGACAGAAGCTCAGACGCCTGAATTCTGTCTCCTGAAACACAAAGCAAGAACTGTTTCCACACACTGGAACTCTTGACCTTCAGCAATCTTTGTAATTCCTCTGGGCTTTCCCTTCTCCTGGCAGGATGTGCATTGGAATTCCTCACTGGTTGTAGTTTTCCTGCCCATAAACTGGAATGATGAGCCCACTGGAGGCCTTTAAGGATTCAGGAGGAAACTCTAGGGAGAAGACCACCCTGCTTATGGGGAATCCTGTGGGGATAAAATCTGGTAGGTGGCACAGCCAGATTGTTTTCTGAGAGAATACCAGGATAAGTCCATACAGGAAGCAAAGCAAAGCATGCCATCAAGTTTGGAGATTGGTGGATCAGAGGCGAATGGAAGATGTGGCAACTTCCTGCCAAAATGGCTGCCACTCTCAATCCCTAAATCGCCCATGGAGAAACTACAGAATGGAGTGGGATATGTGGGATTCTAGGAAATGACGACAGCTGCTTGGGGTGGGCTGGGAGTGGAAAGAGATAAAAGTGAGCAGTTGGGTTGGAGGAGAGCATTTGCTTTACCCCATGTTGCCTTCGACAATCATTGTTTGCTCTCTTGCCGCTGCACAAACTATAAGGAGTTGATGCAGCGAGGAGGGGCTGACCAGGTCCCCTTGGACATCACCTGAGCTCTTTCTACCCTTAGTTCATGTGGCTGATGACTTCTTTCAGGGGTGTTTCTCTTCTCGAGATCCCAGTCAGAAGAGGCATCAGCAAAAGAGAGTGTTTGCTGTGGCTGTGGGATGCCTGGCCCTCGCCTCTGGGCCTCTCCTTAGTCAGGACCCCAACACAGACTAGGGCCTGCCTTCAGCTCGTCCCTAGCACACGTTTCCAGACTGAATCACTCTGTCCCTGAGGGACACATCGGCCCACAGATCAAAAGAATATGACGAAAAGAAACACAAAACTAAACAACACCACAAACCCGAGGCAGACTTGATGGAACAGATGGGTCCTGCATTTAAAATAAATGCTTTAAATTCCCCTAAAGAGATAAGGGAGGATGTTAGCAACATGAAGTAAGAACAAGAGATTATTTTAAAAAGAACCAAGTAGAAGTGCCAGGTTGAAAAGATAATAGTTGGAATAAAGAAGGCAATCAATAAGAAGAGCAGGGTAGATTCGGATAAAGAGAGATATAGTGAACTTTGAGGATCAGGAAAGGGATCAAGAAATAGAAAATACAGGAGAAAATAAAATATCAGGGATGTGGAGGATAGAAGTAGATATGCTGATATCCCAGACGAGAGG